TGGCACTGATATCAGGCCTAGAAAACTGTGGTTAGACAGGACACAGGCCATAGGGGAAAGCCTAATACTATTATTCTGCCAAATAGATATCATATTAAACTGATTCCTAATGAGTTATTTTTATACCTGCAGATTAATACATCTCTCATTTTCAGCAGACAAACCTCCTTATGCAGTAGATGGTGATTAACACAGAAAACTACAACTACCAATGTGCAGAGAACAAGAAGCTGCAGAGTGCTTATCCCTTAACAGGACACTTATATCAAACTTCTGCCTCCTGAGGCTCAGGGGTCATTGCAGAAGAGGGGGCAGTAAGACTGTAAGAGCCAGAGGTAGCAGATGATCACAAAGAAACAAAGTTTTCCAGACAACTGGTCAGTTACTCATATGAACTCACAGCAACGGTGACAGCACGCACAAGACCCACGTAAGCACAAGCCAGACAAAATTCTAGCATAGACGTGGGGAAGTAGATAAGAAACCCCAATCCTCCTGTGGAACTATTGGCAACTACTTGTAGGGGGAGAGTTGGTCTGGTTTAAAGATAAGACTCTTGGTAGGTTGAACGGGCTCCAGTAGATGGGCCCATGCAAAAGGGCATTCAGGACACAAACTTGACTTAGGTCTACAGGTCTTAATATATAAATGTATATTATATATATTTATTTATAGAATAGAATACATGAAATTAGGCAGTGGTAATAAGGGGGGGTGCAGATAGGGAAGAGAGTTCAAATACAATAAAAATATATTGCTTAAAATCACAAAAATTCAACTTTAGAAGAGAGGTGCCTTTTGCCTTTAAATGGGCCATTTCTAACCTCTGTAAATGTCTCACTAGTGACTGCAAACAGGTGGCAGAATATATGGAAACAGGACTGGAGAGATGGCTCAGTGGTTAAGAGCACTGGCTGCTCTTGAGGGCCTAGATTCAGTTCCCAGCTCCCACATAGCAGCTCATAACTGTCTGTAACTCCAGGTTCAGGTGATCTAACAACACTCTTCTGGCCCCTGTGGGCACTGCACACATGTGATGCACTTATATACATGCACACAAAACACCCATACATATAAAATAATAAAAACTTTTTAAAGACCCAGAGGCTTTCTTTCATATTCCTCAACTGTTTGTACTCCAGGGTTCTTTTATGCTTCTTAAAAATGGTGTGGGGCATTTCAAACATACCTGCATTGACAAGTAATTGTGAAGTGCTCAGCCCTAAATGAGAACTCTCTATCATACCCCTACCCCACATAGCCAGAGAATATCGTGGAAGAGGGGGTAGAAAGGCTATAAGAGCCAGAGGTTGGGGAGGACAGCTGTGAAACTGCTGCTGGGGTAAACAGAGTTGGTTTTCTTCAAACAAGTGGCCCATTAGAATGCCATTGCTCCAGTGGATAGCCCTATACGCCTTCTGGGAATGGCAGGACTGATGCACTCATGAATACACAATGGCTCCAGCTACCTGCACAAGACTTACACAAGATCCAGCCAGTCAACACTGAAGCATACTTGGAAGACTTTTGAGAAGTTTGGCAGTTAAAGGCTGCTGGGGTAGGGAAAGCCAGTTCTCTTCGGGTAAGTGGCCCCTGGTAGTTTGCCTGTGCTCCAGGATGGCCCTACATCCATGCACAGAATGACAGCACTGACTGGACTCAGTGGGCTATGAAAAGAGGACATGAAGTTGGGAGAGGGGGGTCTAGGAATGGAAGGTGGATATGATTCTCAAAGAATAACCAAAGCAATCTCTTTTTAAAAAGAATAATTAGGGACCAAAGAAATGGTTCAGTGGTTAAGAGCACTGGCTGCTCTTGCAGAGGACTTGGGTTCAATTCCAAGCACCCACGTGGCAGCTAACAACCATCCATAGCTCCAGTTCCAGGGGAATTCGACGCCCTCTTCTGATCTCCATGGGCATTGCATGACACAGGTGCACTTGCATACATGCAGGCAACACACTCATACAGTAAAAATAATTTTTAAAATAATCAAATTTAGAAATATAAAGCTTAAAAATTCCCTCGAGAGTATATGTTCAAGTGAGGCCCAATCAAACTTAGAAAAAAATTGATGTATTTCTCAGACAAAAAAGAATATGGGTTTTATATAGAATCATGTTATTCTGCTTGAGAGTATCTCCCAAAATGTCCTGTGTTGGAACCCTGATTTCTCCATGCAGCAGTGCTGGGAGATAGAGCCAGGTAAAGGTTGTTTCAGCCATGGACTGGAGCCTCATACAGAACTGTGCCTGTCTCATGAGGTGAGTTGTCAGGTTGACTCCCTTTTCCCTTCTCCGTGTATGCCCTCTCTCTCTTTCTAGTTTCCACCTTGTTAGAAAGCAGCAGAAAGACCCTCATCTAATTAGATGAAGTACCCAATACTGGACTCCCACGTCCAGAACCACTTGCTTACATAAACTTCCTTACTTTGTAAAATATCCAGTCTCAGTTATTCAGTGATAGCAATAGACAATGAACTATTTCACTCTCCCCTTGTGCTGAATTCTCCACACCTTTGATGTCCTACCTGGCCATTTTGTTAAAAGAAAATAATTCTACATCCAATGTGCATCTTAGGGAGTAAAGAGACCCTGCATCACTGAAGCAGCAGAAGGTCAGGAGGGCCCAGCCTGCTGTAAGCAGTACTATCCTCAGGCAGTGATCCTGAACTGTATGAGAAAGCTGGCTGAGTGTAAGCCAGACTAGCATCCAGTGAGCAAGGAACGTTGTTCCTTTCTACTTCGCTGGCTGTGAATGGGTCCTTGGTCATGAGGTAATGCTGTGTGGAGTTGCAAGCAGGCCTGCTTCCAGGTTCCTGTCTTCACTTTCCTTGATGATGGACTATGACCTAGAATTTTAAGTCAAATAAACCCTTCCTCTCCTTAAGTTGCTTTTGGTCAGACTGTTTATCACACAGAAATAAACCTAGAACACCTGTGATTTTTGAAATAATCTACCTGATAAAGTGTCTAATAAACAAGGGTCTCTGGCCATACCCGAGTGTATCCTAATCATGCGGTGTATGGTGGATGCTTGGTGGTGTTAACCTAGTGTCCTGGACCATACTGCACTGAACTGCCCACTTTAAAGATGAAAACGGTGAGTCAGTGGGTACTCCATGTCCATGTGACAAGGTCCCAGGGCTCAGGTGAGCTTCTCTTAGCGGGGGCAGTTGCTATGTTAGTCTTAACTGACAACACAATTTAGAGCCACCTGAGAGTCTCAATAAGGGACTGTTTAGATTGGGTTGGTTTGTGAGCACACCTGTAAGAGATTTTCTTAATTGAGTTCATTGAACTGGGAAGACTCACCCTGAATGTAGACCGAACTATTTTATGGGCTGGGCCCTGGGCTAAATGAGAAAGGAAGAGCAAGCTGAGCCCATGTGGACACTTTCTCTCTGCTCTTGACCGTGGATCTGACTAGCTGTTTCAACTTCCTGCCACTTTGATTTCCCCAACAATCATGGACTGTAACCAAAAACTGTGAACCAAACTGATGAGGAAAAATTAACCTAATGTGGAAATGAACCTTAGTATAACTTTGTTCTTTGTAGATGAATAAGTACTAACAAATGTATTTGATAAGAACCTTATGTACTCCTAATGACAAGCCTAATAATAAGTGTATTCAGTGATATATGTAGAAGTTACAGGACTTTGGAAGCTGCTATTTGTACTCAAGTCATAAAGGCCATTCTGAGCTCAGTCTTGGCTGAGAGAAGCACAAGGTAGGCAACCACATAAAACACAGTGTGTGGTCTTAAGGGAACACCTGCTACAATGTCTTCTTTGTTCAAAATAGATAATATTATACTGGCACTAGCAATATATCATGTTACTGGGAAATGTCACAATCCTTGCCCACACGTTGGCAGTAATATCTGCTTTTTGTTCCATATAATAGCCTAATAGACATGTATACTTCTGTGCTGTAAATCTTAAATCCACCAACACGATTACTGCCAAGGGATGACTTGAAAAATATTATAAAAACCTGTATTTATTTCTTGTCCATGCCTCAGTTTCCCTAGATCAGGAACTCAGACTGAGCCTGTGTGTAATAAAGGATTTTTTTTCCACTTTCTGAGCACGGTTGGAGCATTCTTGCTGTACTAGGGCAGTCTTGGTTTAATTCCCAGAACAAATAAGCCTTTTCTCCCTTGAGTTGCATTTGTCAGGGTATGTTACCACACCAGCAGAAAATAAAATGAAGACAGTAGCACACTGCTTCCTGCAGTCCACTGCTGCGGTGTGTCAGTGGTCTCCACGCCCATGCTGCTCAGTCCCAGGCCCAGCTCCAGCCACGTTTCCTTTTGCTGATTTTAATCTTTGTCTTTCACTATAATAAACTCTAACTGCGAGGAGAATGGATTTTCTGAGTTCTGTGATTCTTGCTAGGTCTTCAGAACCTCAACACAAAAACCACAAATTGCTTTATTACAAGAAACAGGTGCTTTTCTCTCCCCTCATAAGCTCTAACACTCCTTGATCTTTCTTGAGTTTGAAGGTGCCTCGCCCCCAATTTCAAGGGAATTAGTTCCTTAGCCTTTTCACTCATGCCTTTCCTGCAGTTCTCAAAGAATACCCAGATGAACAGACGCCTCCTGTGATCTTCATCAACTTGGCTGGATTGAAGCTAGTGCCTAGGAAATTCTCTGTGGGGGTGTTTCTAGGGACAGATCAGGACTCTGGTCTCGTGAATGGATCAGTCCCTCAATGGCTCCATAAATGATGGCCTTATTGGAAGGTGGCGGAAAGTAGGAGGTAGGCTTAGTTGAAGGACGTAGGTCATGGGCAGGGGTGCCATTGGGGGTCATATCTTGCCCCAGTCACTTCCTATCTCCCCTTCAATGCTTCCTGACCACCATGAAGAAGTAAGATGCCTTCCCACCTTGAACTGAGCCACTGAAACCATGAAACAAATCTCTCCTCCCTTAAGTTGTTCTCCCATGTATTTAGATCACAGTGATGAGAAGTAACTAACACACCACGGACACCTTTCATTCCTGCTCCTTTATCTCAGCCCCCTAAAGAAGCCACACAAAGCATGGGTGTTCAACCCATAGTCGGTTGGACAGCAGACCGGCCCCAGGACTCCCCTCCTAGCCCCTCCCTCCTCCCTGGGCAGGAAGCTGGAAACCCCTCACATGACACTCTCGTTACCTCCCCGACCCCTTGATACCCCCTTTTCTTGTGCCATGAGTGACTTATAGGGCTTCCCCAGGCTGGGGAGGGTTAGCTCAGCCTCCTGCAGCTCCAGCTCCCGTTGAGACAAGTGCTCAATGACGGCGGCTCCAATCGAATCCCCTAGCACGTTGGTCATCGTGCGAAGCCGGTCACTGGTAGAGGAGAGAGAGATTAATGGGGGACTGCAAAGCTCTACAGAAAGCCTCGTGCAAATGGGAGTGGGGGTGCTTCTAGCCCAAACCACAATCACCGGTCCTTGAGCAGGCCCTTTTCTACCACAATTTTCTCTCCTAACACGCTCAGTCCTGAGATTCTCATTCTTAGAAATGGGACTCTTATTTCTAAAGATATGAACATCTGATACAGATCCTTAGGCCTGAGTCAATGCAAGTGTTGACTAGGGCAGGTTGGAGACTAGGCTCTCTAAATGGGAAATGGGTCCTGCTGGCAACTCCCAGATAAGATGAAAATCCTTCCATTTTTTGTAAATCCCATGTTAGGAGAAAAGAAAGGAGGGAAGGACTGAGGGGAGAAGGGAAGGAAAAGGGAAAGGAGGAAAGGAGGGTGGATTGGAGGGAGGAACAGAGAGGAAGGGAGAGAGGAGATAAAGGAGTAACAGAGATGGAAAAAAGGGGGGGGCGGGAAGGGAG